TAATGTTACAATATATAAATTATGAATTATCCAGTGTGAGATATTGGGATGTTACAGGTCTAACAATATAAACTCATTTTTATTTTAAGAGAATATACTCTACATACTTCTATATATCTTTTATATTTTTATCAAGCCTACTCTATTTTTGCACATATTTTATCTTTTGAATTTTTACAAAATCTATTATTTATATTTTTACAGATATATTAATTTTATAAACTTATAAATAATTTTTAGATTATTTTTATTCAAAGCTTAATTATAAATTTAAAAGTGTTTATTATTTTGTCATCAATTTTTAAATCTCTTTTAATAAATACATAGACAAACATCAAGTGTGTATCTGCACATTTAAAACAAGCTCTGATAAAAAGAAAAGTGTTGAAAGTCCAACAAAGTAAGGCTAATTTAGAGTACATGACTGCAAATTTCACCTTGTTAATTGATTTTGAGGGTTGAGTTAGACTTAAGTCTACTTCTTAAAAAAAATATTTTAAATTTTAAAGAAAAATATATATGTATGAGAAAATAAAATATTGTATAACAAAATAATAATTCTCAAATAAAATAAAGAAATAAAAATTGATAACTTTCTTATGTCTTGATTTTGGCTCAAATATTTATTCAAGTTTTTTACTTTATCTCAACTTAAAGACTCTCATCAAGTATTTAGAATATCTTGAGTCAAAGTGAAAAACTTGAACGGAAAGTTAAGATAAAAGTAAGAGATCATAAGATTATTAATTCTTATTTCTCTATTATATATATATATATATATATATATATATATATATATATATATAATTTAAAAAGAAATAGATATTCTCTGCCAAAATGAAAAGTTACACTTATAGTTGTTATAGGTTTATTTTGACTTTAACTTAAAACTAAGTCCACTAGGTAAAAGATTTAGCAATATTTACACACGGGTATAACATTTTAATATTATTTCATAACAGACACATTTTAATTTCTTATAAATACAACAGTTAAATAAATCATGTGAATAGTTGATTTGGTCTTATTTTTTTTATTTTAAATTTTTGTATTACTATTTTATTTTCAAATGTAGGTCAGCATAAAAATAACAATTAGGAGTTTTCTTTTGCTATATTTGTTTTATATCGAATTTCAAAATATTAAATTCTGCATTTAAATAATAAATAAATTTAAAACACTTATATTTTATTGTGTGTTATCTTCTCTCTTATTCTTTCTCCGGATTCCTTTTTTAACTAGTAAAATTGTAAAATAAATGTTCATTTTATATAACTAAAATTTATAATAAATAAATATTTTAATATATATGTACAAATTATATTATAATTAAAATTTATACTAATATTTATTTTTACATATGAACTATATTTTATATTTATGATAAATAATTTATATTGTGATTTGAGTGTAGTTTAAGTATTGATAATTTAAAAAAATAACTAATGAAATTCAATTTAAAATAAAAGTAAATTATACGGAAAGAGATAGAAGATATTAAAATACTAAAAAATACTTTTGTTAAAATATTCTTGTTAAAATATTTTATTTTAATTTATATGGACAACAGACAAATTGTGTAAATTAATTCTCATGAGTGTGTCAAGGCTTGGGCCTCTGTTCATTTTCCAAGGCCCGGATCTGGGCTCGTCCTTGTTACTAAAAATTAATTATAGGCTATTTCTTCCGCTCCTCCATGCTTTCTCCTTCAACCCCATAGTTCAAAGTAAATGACCTAAATAACCTAGCTGTCGCACCTCCATGACTTAGCAATCGCACCTCCATATATAGCTTGTGTATATCCATTGTCGAAAGCGACACTTCCAATGGTGGAATCCATAATATATTCTGGGATTTTTAACATATGAAAAGAGAGAAAGATGACTATCATATTTACATTTTTAATTTTTGATAATTTTTAAATTGAAAGTATTTAGGTCATTTACTTGAACTATCAGGTATAAGAAGAAAATATAAAGGTAGAAGAATAAATAACCTTAATTATAACATCTTCTCCTTATTCTTAAGGCTCTTTCTTTGTACAGACATTTTCTTCCTCACTTCGTAAATTTCCTCCTACACTTCTGTATAAGAAATTGCCCTCTTTAAATTGTATAACCTGGAATTTATTTTCTATTATGTAATTTGGAACAACTTTTGAATTTTACAATTCAAAAATTAAAATAACTTTTATATAATTTAGAAGTAATTTCTTTTTTGAAAAAAAAAACTTTTGATTTATACTATTTATCAAGAATAACTTTTACATCATAAAATCTGAAAGTAAAAAAAAACATTGGTCTATGTTATATATTTTTTAATTATCTTCATGTTCTAAATTTTATTTTTTACTTTTAAACTATATATTATTAAATACAAACTTAGTTTTATAAGCCAAATTTATAGCCTTAAGTTAAATTTAAAATTCATTTACATATAAAATAGAATTGAGTTTAAAATTCATTTCTTATCAAATTAAATAATTAAAAAAAATCTCTCAATTTATACAGTTTAAAAAGTAAAATTTAGAAAAATTAATTTCAAATTACGTAATCTAGATCTGACAAAAACATTTTTTTTTATGTGTAGATAAGGTGGAAAATTTATGGAGATGCAGAAAAATGTTACTTCATACATCTTCATGATTTTCACATACACCCATAAAATATAAAGAAGATATTAAAATAATTTTAAGTAAAATTTAAAAACCAAACTGTGCTCATTCAGTATTCCTACAATTGAGTATCACACTTTGCCAAAATAAATTATGTCCATATTTTTCAAAAATAATTACTGATAATTACTAATGCTAATTGAATTATTTTTCTTGTATACTCATTTTTCATTTCTTTGTTAAATATTTGAATAATTAATAAAAAAAAGTACAACTGTTTAACTTTATAAGATAATGATGCTTGAAATTATTCTATCTTAAACTAAAAGGGTTTAATTTTAGAACATGAAGCTATACTAATCCATATAGTTGGGTGTGACAACTCAATTATTAATAAATTAAATTAAGCAATAATGTATAACGTTGGTGATTGGTGTATACAGTCTTCACGTGTTATAAAAACTATAAATTGAATTCCTTTCACTATAAAAATAATATATTTTAGGGAGGGTTCTTTTCCGGCGGTTTTGTAAACCCCAAATAATTTTTGGCGGTTATTACATAAACCGCCGTAACATTTTTTTTTTTTTAAATTTTCTTCTGCCTTCATTTTTGTCCCCAAACCCTAAATCGCTCTCTCCTCTCCCTGCTGCCTTCGTTTTTCCCAAGCCTCTCCCCGCACCATCTTATTGACTTCATTTTAATAACATTTCTTTTCCTCTGCTCTCTCGAACCTTCTTGATGGAAGACGTGGAGAAGCCCGAGTGGATCGAATCAAACACAGTTTGGAAAAGGAAGATTCAACTGTTGAATCGGTGAAACAGTGCCAAAATGAGGATGTAATCGGTGGATTCAGTGGAGAAGATTGTAGCGAGCATGAATCAAGTCGCAAAATGTGATTTGGTGATGTGAATCACGACGATGAGGGCTCTGTGAGAGTGATGAGGTGAGGAGATTCGTGAGCTCGAGAAGAAGCTAGGGTTAGGTTGTTGGACTCGTGAAAATTCAAATCGTTGCCGCTTCGTGTCCGAGCCATCGTTCCATAACCATCATTACGTCTTCTCACCTCCTACAAACTTTTAGGTTTGTGCTAATGTTTGCAATTCATTGTTTTGGGTACTGTTTGAGGTTTAAGCAGTTTGAAAGTTTTGATCTTTAAGCTACTTGTTTTGATATGTTTCCTCTAGAGTGAACACACAACAAATCATGAAACTAAAGTTTTGATATGAAAATTTCAGAAGATCCTGCTTTCATGTGTTTTCAGATGAATCTTTCATTTGATGGAGATTAATTGAAATACCATTAATGAACCCTAAAGATTAAGTTTGAAATATTCGTATTTCATGCTTGCATACCATCTTTGCGTCGAAATGCATATGATCTCATTTAATGTAATTTGATCACTATACTTCAAACTCACTTTCAGCTTATCCTGCGGACTTCGTAAGTCATTCTTGTGAAAATATAGATGATAACTAATGTTACAGAGTATGAAGCAATTGCAAAGGAAAAACTGACAAAGATGGTTTATGACTACTATGCATCAGGGGCAGAGGATCAGTGGACTTTGGAAGAGAATCAAAATGCATTCGCAAGGATTCTGTAATCTTCTTATCTCTGGAACCATGAACTCTATGTATCTGTTTTGTCCTTTAGAAACTTGCTTTTCATCAAAATCTAAGTTGAACTTTCTTTTGATTACTGAAGATGCTCATTAAGATTCCCGTGTTATGAGATTGCAACTTTGCTTCCTTCAATTATTTTTCACCTTTTTCTCATTCTGAAGCTCTGTTCTTATTATCTATTTGGTTCACATCAAGCAGATTCCGGCCACGTATTCTTGTTGATGTAAGCAGGATAGACGTTTCATGACCAATTCTTTATTTTATATATATATATATATATATATATATATATATATATATATTCAATGTTTTAATTGAGAAAAAGGTTTTTACAGGGACTTACATCTTATCTTTTTTTTGGACTCTTTGCAGCTATTGAATGGGTGAAGGGAAAATAAATGGGGAAAGCAAATGGAGGAAGGAGAAAGTTTTGTCAATAAAAACACCTGACTTGTAGCTTTCAAAAAGTGAAAAAGTCTTGATGTCTAAAAGTTCCACGTTAGTATCATTAATTAAGTTCCACGTTATTTCTAAAAGTTTTATCAATAATATATATTTTAACAATATATATATTAATTAAGTTCCACGTTAGTATCATTAACTAAACTTTAATTTTTATTTATTTAGAGGCTAACATGATGCTTCACTTAATAATATAATACTAAAAGTAATGTTTGAATATTTATGTGTACTCTGTATACTGCTATACTTATGCCTGGTATAATATGCATTATTTTTTTTATAGATATTACTACACGAAAAGGACTCGAGTGCCAAAGAAGTAGATGGGAATGTTATGCCCCTATTGTTATATTTGGCTCATGAGAAGAGACCTCAAGTTGCACATAACTTCAAAGCTGGAGCCATGAATTCATTGGTATTGTATATACCTTTCATGCGTTAACATTTATGGTAAGGTTTGTGCATGATGCTGTGAAATTAATCATTGGTTGTATTATGTGTTCTTGGTCCTAAATGCATATAAGAGTGTCATCAATGATTAGCAACGGGGAAATTATCCTTAATGTAGATTGTGACATGTGCATGCCTTTGTTGGATGGCTTTGTCTTCTGCTGATGGTTCAAAAGAGTGCTTCCTATGATTTTGTAGTTGGTGGCCAAAAGGGTTGGAGTGTTCCCAATGATCCCAGTTTCAATCCTTTCAATCAATGGGCAGAAAAGAGCCGTTTTCAAGTTGGAGACTCCCTTGGTGAGCTTTCTTCATTCAATCTATGCTTCCTATTTACACAGTTTAACCAGTTTAACGTTTCACTTTAGATCATCTAATTGATATACTTCTACTTTGACTTGGTTTAACGATTCTTATATTCTTTTGTCTCAAATCAACCTTTTCAATATATATATAACTTTCATAATCTGATATACATTGCCAAAATCAGTTTACAAAACCAGTATTGCTTTTCACACATTCACACAAGTATTGTTCTCACAACTTGAAAGATTTAAAGCCCTGAGTATAATTATATATTTCTATCTTTCTCAGCAAAATCTCACCATCAACACTAGTTATTAAACTTTTAAATATATGGCTATTGTAGTGTTCAACTACCAATCTGGCCAAGACTCAGTGTTGTATGCAAGAGTGAAGACTATGTGAGCTGCAACACCGATTCACCTTAGGCAAAATTCTCTTATGGCTACACAGTCTTTAAGCTAGACAAATCAGGGCCTCACTTTTTCATAAGTGGAAGCAAAGACAACTGCCTGAAAAATGAGAAGTTAACAGTGATTGTGCTTGCTGAAAGGAACAAAAACAACAACCAAAGCACCGTAAAATGAAAAATAAACCTCTACTAAATAACAGTTTTTTTTTAGTGATAGCTTTACTCTTTTTTGTCATTGTCATTAATTTTCTACATTTTTGTGATTGTGTTTGTTAGTAATAAAACACCCCTCAAGTTAGGATTTTAGCGATTAAAGGAAGATAGTTGATAATCGTATTGCTCTAATATTATTAAAAACCTTGATGACTTCAATATATAATTCCAGGCTGTTAATATGGCTGCAAGGAAGCTTACTATCAACCAACAATGTGTAAGAAAACTTGAACCCTCACCAGTACCGGCGGTTTTTACAAAACCCCTGCTAGTACCGGCGGTTTTTACAAAACCCCCGCTAGTACCGGCGGTTTTGACAAAACCCCCGCTAGTACCGGCGGTTTTCGCAAAACCCCCGCTAGTACCGGCGGTTTTCGCAAAACCCCCGCTACTACCGGCGGTTTTCGCAAAACCCCCGCTACTACCGGCGGTTTTCACAAAACCCCCGCTAGTACCGGCGGTTTTCTCAAAACCGCCGGTAATTACTTAGCGACGCAGCTTTTTCCAGCACTTTTCCTAACCGCGGGTAACCTATTTTTCGGGGGTTAAAACCGCCGAAAATGGAAAAAATAACCCCCGGTAAAAATGTAGATTTTTGTAGTGTTTTGAGATCTTTAATATTTGATATGTAATTTATCTACGCCTACAAAGTGAAACTAAGTCGACCAAAGATTTTAATAGGTTTAGACTTAACATTTATTAAAAAAAAGTGGAAATCTAATCTATTTATTGTGAATTAAAATATAAAAAATTTAATATATTCAAAACTAAAAGTGATAATCAACCAGAAACAAGAAAATCACAATAATATTAATAAAACTGTAAGAGTGTAGTAGCGGAAAAAAGTATTCAAGTTTAAAATTCAAAATAAGAATATATTCATTACATTTTTTTTTAGATTTTCATTCTATTAAAATGTTTTACCAACTATATAAAAAGCTTATTTTAACAACAACTTTTTTATCATTATTATTAAAAGGGTTAAATATGTTTTTTGTTCCTAAACTATTGGTCGTTTCTGGTTTTCGTTCCTCTTTCAAAGTAAGGTACAATTTGATCCTCATTCTTTTCGAAACGTTCGTTTTAGTCCTCAGAATTTTGGTTTTAGTCCTCATTTGTTGCTAAATGAGGACCAAATTTTTAAACAGTGTTTAGTTTTCGAGGACTAAAACGAACGTTTCGAAAAGAATGAGGACCAAATTGTACCTTACTTTGAAAGAGGGACGAAAACCAGAAACGGCCAGAAACAGCCAATAGTTTAGGGACTAAAAACATATTTAACCTTTATTAAAATCATTATATAATCGTTATTATATAATGAAGTAGGAATTCTTAAATGATCATCTTTAAAAGGTGTTCCTAATTTTATATTTTTGTAAGAATAATATTTTTAAGGTTATTATTATTCCTTACTTTATATTAATTCAAACTTTATTTTACTTGGAGAGATTATTTTGTTGTGGATGTGAATTAAATTTTTTTTGTTTGTCATGATTTTTTTTTATTGATTTTCTTATATTATTTGTAAATACCTAGAAATTAACAATTTAGAAATTAGAAATTGATATTCTAAAAGTAATAATGGTTTAAAATTAATGAGATTTAATTATTTTAATATTAAAAGGTTTTAATATAAATAGTTTTGTTATGAATTTTGTTATTTTAAAACACATCATCTCTAGAGTTCTTTAACTTCTTTCTAAGAGTTATTCATGCTCGTCTGATTGAATAACAAAGAACATAAGATTGATTCTTGCGACGAGCTCTTCAATTTGGACCAATCAGTTTCTTTGCTCGTGTAAGTTGAGTTCCAGTCATTTTTCTTGGTCTTTTTCTATTATTTATTGTATGTGATCCTTCTTTCACTTACATACGTCTTTTTAGGCATTTATATGAGTCTATGTTGATCAATGGTTGATCAGTGATCATAATTATATGTCTTGATTGTTCTTGTGATGTTCTTGTGTGTAGATGAAACATCCTATAAGTTGGAAGGAGTTCCACTAGTTAGAGTCTTGTGAGCGATTGGTCAGGTAAGGGAAGCTAATTGCATTGTTTTTAAGTTATAAATACTGATGAGTGCATATTTATGTCCACATTTATGCTTTAAAATTCAAATTTGTAATGAGATAATATTGCTTAAATGATTGATTTAAAGTGAATTTGTGATGATTGAAATTGTTGGGTTTGGGAATTAAAGAGACGTAAAAAGTGAGTTTTAGTGCATAAATTATCCTTGGATGTTCTAATGTTTATTTTTGCAGATGGAATTAAAGCTTTATTGGTCCAAATTGCAAATTAAGGCCCAAAATCATATTTTAGTTGATAAATAATGTACAGATGGGCCAAACATGTAGTTTTTACCCTTGCACCTCCTAAAATCCCTACATACACTCCTATTTCTGAAACAGGTCAACAACCAAGCCCAAACACTAAGTCTTTTCTCCTGTAACCCNTAGATGGGAATGTTATGCCCCTATTGTTATATTTGGCTCATGAGAAGAGACCTCAAGTTGCACATAACTTCAAAGCTGGAGCCATGAATTCATTGGTATTGTATATACCTTTCATGCGTTAACATTTATGGTAAGGTTTGTGCATGATGCTGTGAAATTAATCATTGGTTGTATTATGTGTTCTTGGTCCTAAATGCATATAAGAGTGTCATCAATGATTAGCAACGGGGAAATTATCCTTAATGTAGATTGTGACATGTGCATGCCTTTGTTGGATGGCTTTGTCTTCTGCTGATGGTTCAAAAGAGTGCTTCCTATGATTTTGTAGTTGGTGGCCAAAAGGGTTGGAGTGTTCCCAATGATCCCAGTTTCAATCCTTTCAATCAATGGGCAGAAAAGAGCCGTTTTCAAGTTGGAGACTCCCTTGGTGAGCTTTCTTCATTCAATCTATGCTTCCTATTTACACAGTTTAACCAGTTTAACGTTTCACTTTAGATCATCTAATTGATATACTTCTACTTTGACTTGGTTAACGATTCTTATATTCTTTTGTCTCAAATCAACCTTTTCAATATATATATAACTTTCATAATCTGATATACATTGCCAAAATCAGTTTACAAAACCAGTATTGCTTTTCACACATTCACACAAGTATTGTTCTCACAACTTGAAAGATTTAAAGCCCTGAGTATAATTATATATTTCTATCTTTCTCAGCAAAATCTCACCATCAACACTAGTTATTAAACTTTTAAATATATGGCTATTGTAGTGTTCAACTACCAATCTGGCCAAGACTCAGTGTTGTATGCAAGAGTGAAGACTATGTGAGCTGCAACACCGATTCACCTTAGGCAAAATTCTCTTATGGCTACACAGTCTTTAAGCTAGACAAATCAGGGCCTCACTTTTTCATAAGTGGAAGCAAAGACAACTGCCTGAAAAATGAGAAGTTAACAGTGATTGTGCTTGCTGAAAGGAACAAAAACAACAACCAAAGCACCGTAAAATGAAAAATAAACCTCTACTAAATAACAGTTTTTTTTTAGTGATAGCTTTACTCTTTTTTGTCATTGTCATTAATTTTCTACATTTTTGTGATTGTGTTTGTTAGTAATAAAACACCCCTCAAGTTAGGATTTTAGCGATTAAAGGAAGATAGTTGATAATCGTATTGCTCTAATATTATTAAAAACCTTGATGACTTCAATATATAATTCCAGGCTGTTAATATGGCTGCAAGGAAGCTTACTATCAACCAACAATGTGTAAGAAAACTTGAACCCTCACCAGTACCGGCGGTTTTTACAAAACCCCTGCTAGTACCGGCGGTTTTTACAAAACCCCCGCTAGTACCGGCGGTTTTGACAAAACCCCCGCTAGTACCGGCGGTTTTCGCAAAACCCCCGCTAGTACCGGCGGTTTTCGCAAAACCCCCGCTACTACCGGCGGTTTTCGCAAAACCCCCGCTACTACCGGCGGTTTTCACAAAACCCCCGCTAGTACCGGCGGTTTTCTCAAAACCGCCGGTAATTACTTAGCGACGCAGCTTTTTCCAGCACTTTTCCTAACCGCGGGTAACCTATTTTTCGGGGGTTAAAACCGCCGAAAATGGAAAAAATAACCCCCGGTAAAAATGTAGATTTTTGTAGTGTTTTGAGATCTTTAATATTTGATATGTAATTTATCTACGCCTACAAAGTGAAACTAAGTCGACCAAAGATTTTAATAGGTTTAGACTTAACATTTATTAAAAAAAAGTGGAAATCTAATCTATTTATTGTGAATTAAAATATAAAAAATTTAATATATTCAAAACTAAAAGTGATAATCAACCAGAAACAAGAAAATCACAATAATATTAATAAAACTGTAAGAGTGTAGTAGCGGAAAAAAGTATTCAAGTTTAAAATTCAAAATAAGAATATATTCATTACATTTTTTTTTAGATTTTCATTCTATTAAAATGTTTTACCAACTATATAAAAAGCTTATTTTAACAACAACTTTTTTATCATTATTATTAAAAGGGTTAAATATGTTTTTTGTTCCTAAACTATTGGTCGTTTCTGGTTTTCGTTCCTCTTTCAAAGTAAGGTACAATTTGATCCTCATTCTTTTCGAAACGTTCGTTTTAGTCCTCAGAATTTTGGTTTTAGTCCTCATTTGTTGCTAAATGAGGACCAAATTTTTAAACAGTGTTTAGTTTTCGAGGACTAAAACGAACGTTTCGAAAAGAATGAGGACCAAATTGTACCTTACTTTGAAAGAGGGACGAAAACCAGAAACGGCCAGAAACAGCCAATAGTTTAGGGACTAAAAACATATTTAACCTTTATTAAAATCATTATATAATCGTTATTATATAATGAAGTAGGAATTCTTAAATGATCATCTTTAAAAGGTGTTCCTAATTTTATATTTTTGTAAGAATAATATTTTTAAGGTTATTATTATTCCTTACTTTATATTAATTCAAACTTTATTTT